GCTAGCTCAAAACACCTGGTGCGGCTGGGGCCACTATGCTCACACAGACAGCACATTACCAGAGACCTATAGGCAAATGGGAATGCTGACTCTCTTCTTCAAGCGGATAGATGCTTTATAGTTCTGGAAGAAGATATGAAAATGCCAGCCAAGTTCTTATTGGCACAATTCAAAGAAATGGGAATAATTTCATCTTGATGGCTCTTCCCCAGTCACTATATATAATTATCTGGCTTCAAATGAATCTGTTTAGGCCCAGAAGTCATCACCTCAGTGATGTATAGAATAGTGGTGACAGACTAAATCTCACTGATAGTAACAACACCAACTACTCTCTTTGTCCCTGTACCTTACCTTTGACAAATAGAACAGCTGCCCGGAGAGCAGGCCATATTCATAGTACTGTTCAACAGTGCTCTCTGAAATAATGGAAATTTTCTCTATCTGTGCTGTTCTGTTTAGTAGTAACTGGCTACATGTGGTTTTTAGACACTGGAAATATGTCCAACAAGACTCAAGCATTACATTTTTATTTCCTCTATCTTAATTATTTTAAATAGTCCCACAGGACTTGTGGCTACTACATTAAAAAAGTGTAAGCCTAGAAAGGATCTCAGAGAGGCACATACTGAAATAGAGCAGGAATAAGCTAATGAAAGAGAAGCAATGAGTCATAAGAGATTTTAAATTAAAAATAAGATCAAACATGGTATGTATTCATTCATAAGTGGATATTAGATGTAAAGCGAAGGATAACCAGACTATAATACATAGCTCCAGAGAAACTACTTAACAAAGAGGACCCTAACAGAGACTCATGGATCACCCTTGTAAGGGAGATTAGGTGGGATCAACTAGGTAAACTGAGTGCGGGGGTGGTAAGGGAGAGGGGAGGGGATGAAAACATGAGAGATTTGGATAGTTGAGAAGGGGAGGGATGCAGTGGAAGAGCAATGACAAATATAACTTAATAAAGAGAGCCTTTATTAAGGCTATGGGGTGAGAGAGAAATCTGGTGCTAGTGTAACTCCAAAGAATCCACAAGGATGACCCCAGATAAGGCTCCTAGAAATAGTGGAGACGGTGCCTTCCCATGTAATCAGATTGGTGAATGCCCCAACTATCATCACAGAGCCTTCATCTAATAATTGCTGGAACCAGACGCAGAGATCCACGACCAAGCACCACGCTGAGCTTCGGGAATCCAGTCAAAGAGAGGGAGGAGGGAATATATGAGCAAGGGAGGTCAAGATCATGATGGAGAAATCTACAGAGACAGCTGAACCAAACTCATAGAAACTCATGAACTCCTGACAAACAGGGGTAGAGATTCCAGGGAACAAAATTAGGCTTTCCATATATGGGAGACTTTGGCTATCTGAGGGGTCCCCGGCAGTAGGACCATGATACAAACCTGATACATGAGCTAGCATGTTCGAGCCCATTTCCTATCGTGGGATGCCATGCTCAGCCTTAATGCTCGGGAGAGGGATTTGGCCCCGCCCCAACCTATTGTGTCAGACTTTGTTGACTCCTCATGAGAGAGCCCTTACCCATGAGGAGGAGCAGACTGGGGGTGGGCTGGGGAGAAAGCAAGGGGAGGCAGAAGGAGGGGTAGGAGGAAGAATTGTGGTTGAAATGTAAAATGAAATTTAAAAAAATAAATAAATTATAAAAGAATCCTTATGTACATCTAAATTTATATTGAAATAAACCAAAACTCTATTTAATTTTTAAATAAATAAAATGACTTAAAAATTGACCAGGATCCCAGGTTCCAATCCTAGCTCTGTCACTAAACTGCTTCACCCTCACTAGATTCAACTTCCCCATCTTTGACTTCAAACTTTGGAATAATACAAGATTCTCAAAGTGATAGATAAGGGTTGAATTTAGCTTAGAATGCATGCATTTCATGAGAGATTTGACATGCTACATGCATGTCTTTTAGGGATAGGAAGGCAGTAAGACGTTTTATCCCAGTTTGCCAGGCAGAATGCCAACCATTCTTCTATACACATATCTATATACTGTATTTCCTGGGTACATTGTGAATATATTTGGACCCTTGGACACCGGATAAGATGATTTCTAAGGACTCTTCCTATTTGCCAAGTTGTGAATCTTTTTCCATCTACAGTACCCCAAATGTTTCCATTTAGGCAGGGAACTGAGTATTTTCAGAACTTCTTGTTACTCCATTTCTAGATGTAATGTTAACTACTAAAGTCCACTATCAGGGATAAAGATTATAGTCAAGGAAGAGAAAACTTCCTTGGAGAAGCCACAGAGAATGTGGGTTTTCTAGTTAAAGCAGGTTCACACCATTGAGGTCATTTTTTCCTAAGCTCAAGACTAGAAAATACCATCAATAAGAGTGGGGTCTGTCTGGGAACTGCACCATGGGGGCATTCTGGAGGCACCATCAGTTTGTACTGCCATGTACAAGGAAAAGACCCCGTGAAAGAAATGGATTCACCAAATGGCAAAGCATTATGAAGGCCAGTTCTCGTGCTCTAGGAGTAGATAGACTAGGTACATACCAAACCCCCAGCCTTATGCCTTGAAGTGGGAGGTGAAAGTTGTCAATGGAAATACATATCTTCTTATTACTGTGTGTGCCCAAATCCTGAAGTAATGATCTTTGAACAAGGTTATATTGCAAAGTTGAGATCACAGGCTTCCTTGTTATTTTTCCCCTCCTCTTCTCAACACCCCTCATCTACACACCATTTTCTCCTCCATGTCCTAGGTGTTGATATGAACACGAAATCTATTGTAACTTTGGTTTGCTGAGTAAGAGTATGATAAAGTTTGCAGTAAAGGCTTTACTTTTCTAATTAGGACTTAAAATCTGTTCTAGATATGTCATTTTTCTATGGAGCCAGAAGCAGATATATAGTAGGTTTTATCACATTTATGCAATTGAATTGAAGGATCAACTTCTCTTTGTTTTGTATTTATTTATTTTAAAGGATTAGAGTAAAATACAGTTTATGATCTACTCTCAGTGCATCTGCTTCTGATAGATCTCAGAGTTATGACCTTTTCAATTATTTATACTTATCAATATAAGTGCTAGGGAAAATAGAACAAAGTAACCATTGGAATGCCAGAGGACTTTGAGTGTGTGTGTGTGTGTGTGTGTGTGTGTGTGTGTGTGTGTGT